CTTGGCCATTCGTGACATTCTGTGTTCCGTTGGAAATGCTTCTTCATCATGATAATTGCCTGGTGCCGCTGCTGATGCTGCTCCCAACGATGCATTTCTTTCTTCCATTTTTCTTTCCTCTAGCTAAAAACAAAAAATTTTAATAGGTATTACCAAAATTAATGCGTTTCAGGTTTATAATATTGGCAGCAAACGAATATCCTTGATCCCAGTTCTAGTGAGAACTTTGATCCTTAACAAAAATCTAAATAAACTTTTTCAACGGCAAAAAAAAACTTTGATCCTTAACAGAAATCTAAACAAATCTTTTTCAGTGGCAACTAGAACACCAATTGCTAGAACACAGTATGGTTCTCCAATGCTTTTTCGCCAGATAACCAGAATTTTGGCGAACCTGATGTTCGTTTCATCCCCTAAGCAATGTGCCAGCTCAAATCCCACCACTAACATATGCACTTAGCAGGAGATCTATGTGAGAGATCTATGTGGGAGTGCCTAAATGCCACTACTTCCAGTGTTTTCATTAATTATCAAAATTCGACTGTGTTCCTCTCCACGCTGCTGGGCCAGCAACGCCAAACAAACTAAATCTGTTAACGCATAAACCCAAAGTTTCAGCCTTCTGGCTTTACTGGTCCTCGAGTTGAAAGTGGGTGACAAAAACGCGCGAACACACAGGCACACACACACACATACACAAACACACACATGAGCAGCCTTTTCCCAGGCCCTCGTCCTCTTCCAATCTCCAAGCCAGGGACATTAATTGTTCGGCCTGTGTATACAGCTAAGGGATGAGAAACACAGACTGCGTCATAAAATGTCTTCGAGCACACATGACATTCAAGTGAAATCCTTCTATTCTTCTATTTCATATTTCTAAAATTTCTTAAACAATTATCTGTAACAAGATCACTTTGATGTGCTTGCTAAGCATCATCATATCATCTCGAATATTGCCACTCTTGGTTCGTAAGGTACTTTCTCAGTAATTTAAATAATTAACGATTTTCCCAGCAATTTCAAAAAAATATTAGAAAAGGCTGCCAGCAGTTACAGTATCCCGACGGCAAAAAAATGCTGCTTCTTCAACCCACTAATTAACTGAATCAATAAGAACAAAAAAAGCGTTTGGGCAAAGATTACTCGATCTCGATTTCAAAAAAAAAGGTTTTTTTCAAGATTTCATTTTTTTCAAGATTTTTTTTTCAAGATTCAAGACTTTTCAAGATTTCAAGAAAAAAGGTTCAAAAAGATTTCAAAAAAAAGGCAAAAAAAATATTAAAACTAAGCTCACCAGACGATCCGCTTTCGATCGTAAATCATTTTCGTGGCTATTTGGTAAACTGGTATTGTCCAGTGAAATGCTCTCCGACGATTGTGGCACAGCTGTCGACGATGATGATATCGCTGTTGTACGAGTTGCACTGCTGCTTTCCGTAGCATCCTGCATGCTTTGTGATGGAGTTGGTGGGACTGTCGAATACTGAAAAAAAGTACGATTTTTAGCAAAAGACTGCCAGTGCAAACAGTGCGACAGTTTTTCTAATCAAATAATTGGGCAGCACATCGACTTCTGGTGCGAAGACTAAGACCTACGTGGGCGGGGAATATCTCCTTAAAATTTCAGCTTTCTAGCTTCTCTGGTTCCCAAGTTAGCGGCTTACCCGCCAAGAACTTTAACGAGTCCATACGTAGGAATCACTCGGGTAAGAGCGCCCATTCTGGGGATAGCGGCCCGTACGTGTATGTAGATTAAATTCCCGAAGTTTCAGCCCCGCAGCCTTTGTAGGTCTCGAGAAGAAAACTCGGTAGACACACACACACACACGCACACACACACACACACACACACAAACACCCACATACAGACAACATCTCGACAATATGCGTTTTCTGCATTGCACAGGTGCAAAAAATGCACAATAAAATGGTAAAATTCTTCTTTTCGCACTACCAGATCAACCTTGGCATCAGAAGATTTTAACAAAAAAAAAAATCGCTATACCTGAGAAGTGTGAGCCGTAGCAACACCTGTGCTGCTATATGTTCCAGTTCTGCTGTTCAGTTGCGCTGGTTGCATTCGATATTCTGAAAAAAATGTAAAAAATTTGAGGAAATATTTCAAATTTTCCAGCTCATTCTGTATGCTCTTATCGACACATATGAACCACGGGTGATATTCCAAAATCAATAAACTGCTAACCATTGATAATCTGACTTTCGGGGTCCTTTCCTTCGACGGAAACTGAAGTAGAACTGCTTGATTCCTTATGTCCGATGCGCCATTCAACTGGCTCCGAAGTTAAGGTTATAGATGTCCTGAAAACGAACAATTTGCAGCACGATTCCAAACCATTTCAATTTCGCCTGAACAAATCCAGAAACGAAATGACCCAATTTCATCGATTGCTCTTCGCCAGGCATCGTCCACAAACTCGCCAAAACAGCAAACTCACTGGAATTACCAGCGTGTGTCCGGGCTATTCAGCGGATCTCCCGTGCCTCTAACATGTCCCAATCACTTGAGCAGACAGGTATCTGTTTTCAGCAGGAGTTGTACTTTTTCAACCACGTCTTCTTCGAAAAAAACTAACCGTATTTCAAGTGGCAGACCAAAACATCATTAAAATATAATGATCAGTGTTTTCTTTTTCTGTTTTTACATGGCCGACATGCATGAAGCAGTGGACATTAGTGCTGTTGTCGTGCAGCGGGTGGAGGATTCGACTTCGCCAATGCTATAATTTACCTCTCTACGATCCATTCATTCGTTCCTGTGGTAAATTGGTACTGCATGTGCCAGGAAATCAAACCCCGTCATAATTGCTTGTAAGCAATCATTGGCGGATCCAGGGGGAGGGAACAGTGAGGCTTCCGATATAGTGACGAACAGGGGGGAGGAAAATCGTCCATACCCTCCCCCTCCCCCTCACCCCACCTTTTCAGGAATCGTCCATACCCTTCCCCTCCCCCTCACCCCACCTTTGTAAGCAACCCTCGAAAGAGTGAGCCATCGACAGCCTTGCGAGCAGGTAGTTGCTTTTGATATTTGCAGCCACTCGTGCTTTTCCTCGAGCGCACCCTCCACTTCTCACAGAAGACTAATACGAAAAAAGGTATTTCAAAACAGGAAAATTTTCACATGAGCCAAAAAATACTTTATAAACAGAGATTCGATCAGCTGTTAATTATCGCAAGACCTCTCACTGACAATGCAACTAGCAACTTCTCTATGCATTTCTGCCGCGTTTCTGCCAAATTCAGGTAACTCCATGGAAGCGTTCAAGTATTTAAGCCATTTTTTCATCACCAAATACCATAGATTTTGGAAAAAAAAAACATACCTTGTGACTTCTTCCTTTTTGTCAAATTCTTCGTGACTTTCCGTTGTCTGTGCCTAAATCAGGGAGCAGAGTTAGTGCTTTTGTGTACAGTATGAAGTTCCAGCAGCTCCTCAACGGAAAATACGTTACCTCAGGAGATTGTTTCTTCAAAGCAGGTTTTTCATCAGTCGGACTTGACGGCGTAGCTGTGTCTCGCTTAACAGGAAGCGATTCCTGTACCGGTACCTTTCTTCGTTCATCGAGTATTGATCGCAGCGTCGGAAGCCAGGCCAGGTCATTTTCGTTCGCCGATGCCATAAATTTTAGCCTGCAAAATGAAAATAAACAAAACGCAATAAGGGCATCGAGTTCCCCCTCCCCCCTCCTCTCTTTGCTCCGTCCTTGGTTATTCATATGATTCTGGTAGGGCCTCCACGGCGCCTGTACTGTCTTTTCCTTGCTTTCAGCGTCTGCTATCATTTCAGGAGGCTGTACTTACGATTCCCACCCTTATCCACATGCATAGTCCGGTCTCTGTTTACAGCTAAAGGATAAAACACAGGCAGGCTGCATCGTAAAATGTCTTTTTGTACATGACACTTAAGTCGAATCCTTCTACTCCACTATTCACTTACAGAAAATTTGACAAAAAAAAAATTCAAATTCTTCAATCTCTAGCTCAAGTAGATGCGCGGAGTTTCCAAACCCGAATACATCATAACGTACAACTTCAGCCAGCAAAACCAATTATGCTAAATTAAAATTATTTATCTAACTACAGCTCAACATAACCAACATTTACTAGGGCCTAGAAAGCGTGACAACTATAAAATTAATCGATTTCATCAACCTTCTTCTACAACGTAAGCTGGATTTTCATTCGTCTATCATTGCTATCCTTTCTTTTTCTTGGATTGAGTAGAACTCGGTGGTGTGGATGTCGGCTCAGCAGTCACAAGAGATCAACAGCGCTTTAGTGACGGGAATGCCGTATCAACGTATCACTGCTATCATATGCAGAGCAAAATTTTCCAATTTTTGCCGGGTTTTTTTCGTGATATCAAGTTTTCGTGACATTTTTCCCGGGTTTTCGTGAATTTTTTTCCGGGTTTCCGTGACATCCTCTATGTAAAATCACCCTGTCCATGGTATAAAACTGTCGATGTTGCTGAGATGCAGGCACGCATCGGAGGCAGCTATGCCAGGTCCTCAAAAATTCTCTATTGTTAAAATCGGGAAAAAAAAGGACAAAAAGTGGCACCTTTCGGCTAATTCGTACAGTCTCTCGAGTTCATCGACATCCACTTCGTTACAACGATTCCAAATACTCCTGGCAACGTCTACGCTATACTGGAATGCATCTGTAGCTAAAGCTCCAAGTTCCGCAATTACTTCCGCATAATGCAATCGACAGAGCTGATAAGCCAGTGATCTGGTCAGATTCACATGCATTCCATCGTTTGCCAATCTCATTGCAAATTCAAAAATTTCCGTTGCATGTAAATCGATCACAGAGAAACTGGAAATTATTACAGCTAAAGGGATCTTGAAAGGATCAAAGATAAGATATCAAACAAAATATCATATGTTTTGGTTGTGTTGTGGTGGCGGCCCCGGCAACCAACGAAGGACACGAACCCTCCTAGCCTGAATTATCATCAAGGAATCGACGAACCAGCCAACGATCCGAAAAGGCGCTGGAGCAATGGGCCAGCAGACAAGACCTCCGAGGCCCTAGCTCAACAACGGAGGGCTGAGCGGTGATCGAAACCGGGATCTCTCGCATATATTGAAAAAAAAGTTGGCTGTGCTGATGATTCCCACTCCTACCTACACCTTCACTTGTCTTTGTTTGCAGCTAGGGGATCAAACACAGACAAATATCCCTACATATTCTCAGCACAAGCGCAATCAACATGTCACACTGTTTATAA